GGGAATACGATTCCCAATTGAAGGGAGAGATAAAATTTTTGAAATTCGCCCCTTATTCCGCAATCTTTGGGCGTCCATAGGATGGATCTCTCATCCCTTCATATCAAAACCTTCGAATCTTGAAGGACTGAAGCATATACAGAGGGCTTCTGTGAAGTCTGCCCAAGCAACTTGGGGGTGGGATCTACAGAACCATTGAAACCATAGAATGGCTTCCCCTTCCAAGTGAAATGATGCAACTGAGACTCTTTGATTACTAGGGGCTTCACGATATTCAAAGTGCCTCTTGGCTTTAAAATCCAGGGTACAAGGTCGTTGTTGGTGAATGTGAGGAAGTCAAGCCTGGTGAGGGTTGGTCTGCCTCTTCCTGTTCCCATTGTGTTGCCTCTGCCATTGTCTCTGCCACTGGTTCCTTCTTGTTCTCCGTCCTTGTTACTTGCACTGGTTCCTTTTTCCAGTTGCCCGACCACTGCTGCTAGGGTTGTTTTCAGCTCTTGGAGATTGTTGGACATCTTGTGCATCCCAACTTCCATTCTATCGATCCGGTCTTCCACAGATTCCGATCTGGTACTCGGCATCTTGGCTTTACTTGGATATAGACTTCTAATACCAATATTGTTAGACACCACTTCAATGGGGTGCAGAGCGAGCGAACGAGAGAGCAATGCCAGCTTTCTCTTTCATTTATTTGGTCTTTTATGTTGTACACTTAATTCCATCAAGATTGGTAGTTACATCTTAGCTGTATGTTATTCTTGATCTTGCCAGCCTGTTTGTTGATTAACTTGCCATGTTGTTAACTGAATTTGCTGATGTGGCTCTTCTCTTCTTCTTTCTAGAATAGACCTGGTGTATAATTGGCTTAGCTGTTGTATTTAGACCCATACTTTTATGCAAAATTTTAAATTAAAACCATTCTATACACAAATTTAAATGTTTTCCCAATTCCTACCTAACTCAACCCAATTTTAGATCAAGTTAGCATTTTCCTACCTAATCCTATCAAGTGGGACTGGCACAACCCTATTTTGCGATGATTAGTCCTTTAGTYGGTAAGAAAGGAAGCTCATTAGTCCTAGTCCTAATAGTCTGTCAGACAAAGCAGCAGACAGGCAGGGAAATAATCTCAAACATGCTATTAGTCTAACAGAGCTAGTAATAAGAGCAGGTAAAGCCAAGCAAAGAGGAAGTAAAGGAAGAGGTGTTTATCAACTAAGAGCCAAAAGAAAGGCAGGCAAGTCAGCTCAAACATGCACTAATGCCAAAAGTGGAAAGTATCAATTCACAACCTGAATAAGGAAGTATTACTTTAAACTCTGAAGGAAGACAATTGGGTTCATTTCACAGTTCAAAGTGATTTGAGTTTGATTGACGGTTTCTACTAGTTTAAAAGTATGGACTCTTAAACTTTTGGTAAATGTGCTTCTTTATTTAACTTTGATCTTTATAATCTTTATGTCTGAAAATACATCATAAATATATCTACCATTGCGCCTTACTCTTTCAAGCCATCTTCTCATTTTTGCTCACAACTTACATGATTTCAGATATAGCCCTTATGTTCAGGCTAGAAGCAGAATAGATCAGCTCAAACGTTTAGGCCACAGTGTGGATAAGGTTTGACTTTTTTGTCTCATAATCACAAAAATCTTTTTTTTTTTTTTCTGGACAAGAATGCACAAAGCATAAAAGTCTACTATTTCAACCAATGGATATTTTGCAGGTTGAATTCATCTTAATGGGAGGTACTTTCATGTCATTGCCATCTGAATATCGTGATTATTTTATACGGAATCTTCATGATGCACTGTCAGGACATACTTCTGCAAATGTTGAGGAGGCAGTTTGTTACTCAGAGCATAGTGCCATAAAGTGTATTGGCATGACTATTGAAACGTGAGTCAGATTTAAGTAAAAAAATCTTGGTTACTTTTGAGAGCTGAGAATATGGGAAGGCCCCATCTTTCCTGCAGCTATGCTATAAACATGCATACAATCTGGTTAAGGCTCACCAGTCAATGTGTCCTACCTAGGAGATCTCCTTGGTCAAATTTTCATTCAACTATGAAAACTGACAATTTTGATTTTATTTATTAATACTTTAATACTATGGAGGGAAAGAAAAGGTCTAAAAATGTGATGGTTGCGATCATCAAATCATTTTTAATATATGTCCTTTCCTACTTGGGACCCATTTATTGACGAGTCTTTATCATGCTGCATATGAAGTGTAAACCACAGGGTGGGAAATAAAGGAAGCTCTCAAGAAGTTGGCCTTCTGTTTTATTTTTTTTGACAAAAAATTATGATTTCCTTCCAAAGAGCTTCACTTACCAATTCACTAGTGCAACAAACTGTAATTGTAGTTCAACTTGTAAACATCTTAGGAACTTTAAGGCTGCAACTTGGGTGGGCCTGGGTTGAGCAGTCATAAAATTTTGAAGGAGTGCAGTGCAAGGGCCCAGGCCTGAACGCCTGATGAAACGGAAATTCATTGAATTGGGTACCCAACTTGCACCCATGTGGAGCTTCTGTAATTCATTTTTTTCATGGTAAATGGGTTTTGGATAATGTCTTCTTCATTGTATTTAATCTATTAGGAGGCCAGATTATTGCCTTGGACCTCATCTTCGGCAGATGCTTTCTTATGGATGTACAAGACTAGAAATAGGGGTTCAAAGCACATATGAAGATGTTGCTCGTGACACTAATAGAGGGCACACTGTAGCTGCTGTAGCTGATTGTTTTTGTCTGGCAAAAGATGCTGGTTTTAAGGTCTGGTCTTGGCTCATGTCCTGCAATTTACATGTATAGTTTTTCCTATATTAATGTAATTCATAGACTTATCATTTCTCAAAAAAATTAGCCCTCTTCAGGGAATACCAAATGCTAAGGCTGCCATACTTATCGTGTCTTGTTCCAAAATGAACTAGTCTTTCTATGTTGCCTTTGAGCTAATTTGCATGCTTCTTCAGGTTGTGGCTCACATGATGCCTGATCTCCCAAATGTTGGGGTTGAGAGGGACTTGGAAAGCTTTCGGGAATTCTTTGAGAGTCCATCATTTAGGGCAGATGGTCTTAAAATCTATCCAACACTTGTAATTCGTGGAACAGGGCTTTATGAACTATGGAAAACTGGAAGGTATTTTGAAGTATCTGGTCCTCCATGTGTTTAACTAATTCATGTCTCTGTGCTTAAAACACCAGTTCTGGTATATAGCATGGAGAAAGCATGATCATTTGATGATCAAATTAAAATGTAATAGATATTTGATGGGCAACAAATAATTTTTACTTGTACTATCTTGCAGGTACAGAAACTACCCACCAGAGCAACTTGTGGATATAATAGCCAGAATCCTAGCAATGGTACCTCCATGGACACGTGTTTATAGAGTTCAGAGGGACATCCCCATGCCTCTAGTTACTTCTGGAGTTGAGAAGGGAAATCTCCGTGAACTGGCTTTGGCTCGGATGGATGACTTGGGTTTGAAATGCCGTGATGTCAGAACACGTGAAGCTGGAATTCAAGTAGGAAGACAGTTGTGCTTATTTGGGTTAAAAAAATCTAGATAGTTTGAGTTTTGTTGTTCATATAACATATCTGTGGTGGAAATTCAGGACATTCACCACAAAATAAAGCCTGAAGAAGTGGAGCTCGTTCGTCGTGACTATACAGCAAATGAGGGTTGGGAAACTTTTCTCTCATACGAGGATACACGCCAGGTATCAAATCATTTTTCTCTCAGTGGGTATAGCATTTTTCTTATCAGTAGCAAAATACTTTGTTAATAAAAGTAGGAATGAGAGAGAGAGAGGAAATAAATTAATGTTGTTCCATCAATCCCTGTACTTGCTGACCTGATCTAGATATTCACCCTGGATACAAGATTTTAGATTCTCTAAAATATTTTCACATATTCTGAGGTCTCTTTTCCTCGCCATTCATCTTGCTTATAACAACCTTTTGAGTCTCCATCCATCCTCTCTCTTTGCCAGTCCAAGGAAAATATTAACCTGATCATTGCACCAAGGCTAATACATCCGCCCTTGTACATTATTATTTCTTCCTAGAAGCAGCAATTGTTTGCTAAGGTCAATTGATGCTAATCTTTTATTTCTGTTTCCAGGATATTCTTGTTGGGTTGTTACGCTTGCGGAAGTGTGGCCGGAATACAACATGTCCAGAACTCACTGGAAGATGTTCAATTGTTCGTGAGCTCCATGTTTATGGAACAGCAGTGCCTGTGCATGGACGGGATGCTGACAAACTACAGCATCAGGTACTTTTATGTTTTTGGAAATTGGTAAAGGTCTTTTAGGCTGCATTTGGCATTCCTTATTTTAAGGACTTGTCTCCTTTTTACAGTTAAAATGCCCCTATGAACACTGAGTTTTTAACTGCAAAAAGGACATAAGTCCTTAAAATAAGGAATGCCAAATGCAGCCTTAGATGGGTCATTTAGATCCATTTGCCACAAGAACTTTCATCTTTCAGTCTTTTAAGTTACCGAAAAATGATGTGGTTAGATGGTCCAAGTGGGTGATTATCCTAATTAGCCTTGTATCAGTAATCAAGTGTCCAGCTTTTAGGTTACCGACTCAGCTTTGCAAATTAGCACTTTAGCAGTTTCCTCAATTCTCAGTCTTCCCTTAACCCTCTGCCAATAGACTCATCCGAGATCCGAAAAACCAATTACCTTAATACCTTTTGGAGGATAAGCTCTTGAATTGAAGATAATGTCGTTCTATTATCCAGTCATTTGCATGAGATGCTATTATTACTTAGAACCTGTTTATGGCTTCTCTCTCTCTCTCTCTCAAGCACAAAGGGGGAAGAGAAAGAGAGGTATTTGAAGTTGCCGTCTTTTAATTGCATCCTGACTGAGTTTTTCTGTCCGTGTTCTGCAGGGCTATGGGACACTTTTGATGGAAGAGGCAGAGCGGATTGCTCGTATGGAGCATAGATCCAAAAAAATAGCTGTAATTTCAGGGGTGGGGACCCGGCATTATTATCGAAAATTGGGATATGATCTCGAAGGGCCATACATGGTCAAATGTCTTCTGTAACAATTACTAATGGGATATAGTTTGTAATCTTATATTTTGGAGGTAGGGGATTTGTTCATCTTCTATTCTTATAAGAATTGTTGTATTGTACAGTTGAGCATCCTAGACTAGGAGAAAAAGTAGGTGTTTTTTTACCATAATTTCAAACTTATAGTATCGTTCATCCACTTGTGAAATCATACAGCCGTTAAAGTTTGGGTTTTGGCTTTATTTTCGTAGGGCAAACGATTTGAGGCTTAAAACAATCCCTCATCTCTCGGGACTGAAAGTATAAGGTGTTTGGAACCGCTGCCACATAAGCACCATTTCAGCATTTTCCCATTCTGCGAATCCATACACATAGGGAATTGTAAATACATGCCTTGATTTATGTGTGTGCCTACTGTTGGGGAAAGCGTCCAACGGCTCACTGTTTTGCTGATGTCATGCCTAATGGGGTATAGTGGTGCCTAAGTGTCAATAAATGGGTTTATTATTGTTTTTCTTGGTTTTGTAAATAAATCAAGTACAAACGTTTAGTGAATAAATGTCCACAGTTTCAAACACATTAAAACTTTATAGAACATGTACAAAAGTTGGGGATACGAACTCAATAAGTGAAGACTAAATACCAATAACCAAATCCTTTAATCAACTAAACACCCACAGTTCCAAACTCATACTAAATCCAGGCTTTCGTTTCATAAGTTTTTTTTTCTCATGTGCAGTGCGGCCAGACCCTGGGTGGCGGTGACAAAACCCATAATTCACACCACTGTTTTCAAAATCGGATCAGACCAGACGGTCGGACTGGAAAAATTGGGAACCGGTCACTTGATCGGTTCCGTTTTCCTCCAAAACCGCTTTTTTCCCCAAAATCGTTGATTTTGGTCAGCAAACCGCTGAACCGTCCGGTTAACCATTCGAACGGTTTTGACCGTTTTCCAATTTTTAAAATTTTTTTTGTCAGAATGGACTAGCCGTTCGGGTTAAATAGTCAGACCATTCGAATTAATAACCGGACCCCTGACTGATTTGATCACTGATTCGTTTTTAAAAGCCATGATTCACACATTAATTCTATTGATCACAATCATAAACCACGTCACTCAGGCTGGCCTTGTTGCAACCTAATGGGACTGAATGTAGGCACAATATGGTAAGCACGTTCGATGAACATTTGATAATTGTCAAAAGTGTCTTTTTTAAAAATAGGTGAAACAGGTGTCAAAAAATTTTCAAAAGTGCTCATTGAACGTGACCTGATCCAGATTGATATGCGACCCATTTAAGCTTAAATAAATAGTCAGCACCCTCCATGACCTGATCCATTGACAATTGAGCGACGTGGCCCGCTATCCGTGCGAGAATTAGTATCCACACACGAATTTTATTATATCATGTGAATCTAAGTCAAATGAAAGTCTCAATGCATATTCACATATTGATTTTTTGAGGGTAATGAAACATGTCCATTATTATAATCAACCAATTGATAAAACATCAATACATATCTGCATTCTGCACAGCCTCAAAGAAAAAATATTTTTTAAATAACTTTTCAATTCTTGGCCTCTTGCATGCATCATGCAATTGCCTTGCATGCCAAGTGTAAAAGGTTCAAAGCTTATTTTTCTAATAACCTTTCAACTAACAAATAATGCAATCTTCTATTCTCTTCATAATCTCCATAGTTTTAAAGTTTAACTCAATGCAACCATCCAGACTTCGTGGAATCAATCAACCCCTACTGGCCATGATTCCTTTCTCAGTTGTCAGATGTTGCTTCATGTCTGCATTCCCACTTTTCATATCCCAGCACCAACTGACTATTTGAGGTAACTCTTCTAGTGGCACCCTCAGTCACCGGCTATTCCAAATCGGCATCCATGACATGTCCAACCACCTCATCGCTAGGGCACGCTCATGCTAATGGGGTTGGTGCTTGCGTCATCACTTTCACTATTGGTGGGCTCATTGTCTTCAACGCCATCGCCATGTTTACAGTGAGAACCCCCTATTATTTGCATCGTTCGTAAGCCCAATTCCAACAATTATGGACAATTTACAAAGGGTTCAATTTGCGTATGGAAAAACTTTTGTTCCTCGAGTCTTTATTGCTTAGGGATTGTTTTTTACTTCTCCCCACCACACAACATTCATCACTTTTAATGGGCCAAAACATTTTGGAGTAACTGGTTTAAATTTTGCATGAAACCAGTACTCCTTGTGAAGAAGACAATGCTTCAAGGGTTTGTTTGTTAAATCTTCAAGCCTTCATAATTTTGTCGCACTTATCTTTAATTCATAGCTTAGCTTAGTCAGGTTGAATCATGCCAATAGAGTTGTAATTTTAGTTGTTTCTTGAGAACAGTTTAACCATTACATTTATGAACTTTTTAGAGGCTTTGTTAATATATTTATTTGACGAGTGTTTTGCATGTTGAGAACAAGAAAATTGCGACTCAAAAACTCTTTGATTGCATAATTTTGGAAGATAACAAAATTAAATTATTATTACTTTTTTTATTTTGAAAGAATCATTTTTATTAAAATTTGTAATTTTAAATTTAAATAATTGCATCATTTATGTAGCCAATCAAGTATTATTTATCAAAATTCTTTAAGTGGACTTTGATTGAAAAAATATTTTCCCTCGGTATCATAAATTTTAATTTACACTATACTTTGTTGGGGCTTTTTCTGACGAAAAACACCCTCCAAAAATAGGCGTATGCCGCTGAGTGCGGCGAGCAAACGGTATTCTTTAGTAAAAGGCGAAAGAATAGTTCGCTCTGTGCTCACCGCGCGACTGCGTGGGTTGGAAAGACGCCTCGTTTTCATTTATATAGGTGAGTCTTTGAGTGCAGTTTCACTCTCTTGCCCGATGTGGGAATCATACTCATTTCAAACGGTATTAATAATGTTCATGCCCAACTGATTTTGCCAATAGTAGCTTCTTTTTATTTGGCTCCATGGCGCTACACATACGCCGGGTTGCCCATCCCCAATGGTAGCCGTAGCTTTTTATTTTTCACACAATTCAAATCATGCTGCTCAGAGCAACCTTCACTCCCATTTTTACTGCTATTCCATACAAATCCAAAATCCCAGCTGCTTCCCTCTCCATCTCGAATGCGTTCCTCAACAACCCGCTTTCTGTTCGAGAAAATTCCTCACTCAATGCTAACGCCACTAACCAGAATCCCTTGTTACCTCCAACGTCAGCCTATGTCCACCTCCCTTTCTGTAGAAAGCGCTGTCATTACTGTGACTTCCCAATTGTCGCTCTTGGCTCTTCTTTAAGCCAAACTGAAGATGATGACCCACGAATCGCAAATTATGTTCAACTCCTCTGTCGAGAAATTGAAGCAACAAAAGTAGCATCTAACAACAACCCACCTCTCGAAACTGTCTTTTTTGGAGGAGGAACGCCATCCCTCGTGCCACCGAGACTCATCTGGTCAATTCTGGAAGCCCTCAGATCAAAATTTGGGGTATGCCCGGATGTAGAAATGTCAATAGAAATGGATCCCGGAACATTTGATACGAGGAAAACGAGGGAATTATTGGACTTAGGAGTGAATAGAGTCTCTCTAGGAGTGCAGGCATTTCAAAAAGAGTTGTTGATGGCGTGCGGAAGAGCTCATGGCATCGATGAGGTTTATGAGGCTATTGATATCATTAGCTCATGTGGTCTGAAAAATTGGAGCATGGATCTCATCTCTTCTCTCCCTCATCAGACGCCAGAGATGTGGCAGGAGAGCTTGAAGCGAACCGTAGAATCTAAGCCTACTCATGTATCTGTCTATGATTTGCAGGTGGAGCAAGGAACCAAGTTTGGAGTTTTGTAAGTCAACTAGTAGTTCCAGTAATGAAAGGCTAAAAGCTTCACATCTTGCCATAACGGTCTAGAATTTGAAATTGGATGTTTTGCAGGTATACACCAGGGGAGTTCCCCCTGCCTTCTGAAACTCAGTCTGCAGAGTTCTATAAGATGGCTTCGGAGACGCTGTCAAGTGCTGGTTATAACCATTATGAGGTCAGTAGCTATTGCAAGAGTGGCTATGAATGTAAGCACAATCTGACATACTGGCAGAACAAATCTTTCTATGGTTTCGGTCTTGGGGCGGCTAGTTATACTGGCGGACTGAGGTACTCAAGACCCAGGAAGATGAAAGAGTACATGGGCTACGTACAGAATTTGGAGGCTGGGTTGGTAGATAACCACGGCACTGATCAAATTGATGCCAAAGACATGGCAATGGATGTTGTGATGCTCTCACTTAGAACTGCAAGAGGCCTAGAAGTGAAGTCCTTTGCAGGAGCGTTTGGTAGCCATCTTCTCGCCTCTCTTTGCCAGGCTTTTCAACCTTACGTGGAGAGTGGACATGTGGTCGCACTGAACGAGGAAAGAAGAGAACTGAGACCAGATGAATTTGGGTCTGCATTATCCAGTGGGCAGAAGATTGAAGAGGTACTAGAGTTTATTCGGCTTAGTGACCCTGATGGCTTCCTCTTATCAAATGAGTTGATATCCATTGCATTTACAGTTATATCTCCATAGGATGCTGTGCTATTGGAAAGTTGAGTTTTGAATGTGAATTTGGATTGTGAACAATCATAAAGAGTAACCGAGTATATCTAATATATTGATTATGAAGCAAAAATTCAGAAAGCAAGAAAACAATTAGAAGCCAACCTTGAATGTCAACTGGCTGGATCTAAAAAGAGGGGGGGGGGGCGGGAAGAGAGAGCTTGGCAATGATGGAGAACTGTTTGCTGGTCATGACACCTTGCATTTGGAGGCACTTCCTAAGGCGACAATGAAGAAGGAAATCCCGAAGTATCTCAGCAGGCGACAATTATTTTTACAAAGTAAATTTGGTTCTCTAATGGGGTAATACACTATTTGTGTCTCAGTGTGATGTACCGGAATGGATCAGTATAGAAGTAAGTCTTGAATTTAAAATACATTAGCCGACCTATGAATCACGAATTGTGAACTGAACATGTAGAAATCATTGATCGAACTTGTTTACTATGTCTTGCCCATCAACTTTTTTTTCTCTAAAACTTGATGAGAAAATTGGTAAAGAGCTAGATTGATATATTAAAGAACTAGTTTATATATATATATATTCTAAAAGCTGAAGTTGAGAAGAAGATTGATAAAGAGTTGGATTGAATATATTAGAGAATCTTTTCATCTAATACATTGCCCAACCAATTTACAGGAAAATCCTCAGGTGAAAACCACCATCGAAGCAGGCATGGTTGGGGGTTCCTGCTCGAGAGAGAACCCCTGACCAACACTAATTTTGATGCTTCTGTGTTCTGTCAAAAAGAATAGAGGTGTGGCCATTGGTTTGCTCTTTTTCCCCAACAACTTCTGTGGCGAGAACCCATGACCAACACTGACTTTGATGCTTCTGTGTTCTGTCAAAAAGAATAAGGTGTAGCCATTGGTTTGCTCTCTTTCCCCAACAACTTAATCAAACACTGAAATACATGCATGCCTGTAAGGATATGTATGCTTCATAAAGCATCTAAGGCTGCATTTGGCATTCCTTATTTTAAGGATTTATCTCCTTTTAACTGTAAATAGGAGGTAAGTCCTTAAAACAAGGAATGCCAAATGCAACCTAAATCGCATCTCAACGAGCCTATACCTCCTGCAAACAGAAATTCTGTTCATGTAGCATCCAGCCGGATATTGAGAATATCTCCCATATCCCATACATTAATGTTTAATTTATGGGGAGATGTTCCCAATGTATGACGGGATTTTCATGCTTTCACGGTGTGTGCAGAATTTTTAGAATTGACGAATTGGGAAGGTGTCAACACTTTGGCAAGGACATCAGATGTGTAATGTGTTTCTGGAGATTAGGGATTGAATCCCCACCCTAACTTATGAAAGCCAGGCCGGGTTAGGTCGGTTTGATATCAATCCTAACCCAACACAAGTTGTTGAACCCCCAACCCTAAAACTTCGGTTGGGCTTGGTTGACTCAACTTCCCTACTTTTTGTCAAATGTACTTATTTTTAGAATCTAAGGGTTCATTTTAATTCAATATTAACATTATTATGTTAAAAAGACAATAGTTATAATGTTTTAGAAAAAATTGTAAACTTGGAACTCTTCACATACAATATACATACATGACGCATGTATCTATAGATAGATAGACAGATAGATATGCATATACATAGGGTTGGTCAAGACCTCGACCCAATTCTAGTTTTTTGGGTTGGATTCGAGCTAACCCGGCCCAAGTTTCCCTAGGGCCTGGCCCTAACCGATTCATTCCCTTGTAATTACCATATCAGGCCCACCACTATGACCACAGAACATGATCCAATACAAATCGATTTACACCATGGCATTGATTATGCACCCAAAACGGCCCGCTGGATCCCAGACCGCTGCCTCATTGGGCCTAAAGGCTGAAAGCTATTTTCCAGGCCCAGTTATCGGGCCATGTTACCGGGGCCCGGGCTCAAACGAAGTAACGAAGGAAAGCTGCTGAGCTTTCGCCTGTTCCACTTCCATCGTGTCTTCGCCGATCCGTCGTCGCGGTAGGTAGTCCCCGTGGCTGTGGGGACCGGCGCCCGGCGGGAATGGAATTCGGAACCTAGGTCTGGAGTGGGACCCGACCACGAACCTATCCGTTTGACTTGTTTTGAAAGAAACTGAATCTGAATGATCCACAAGAAAGCCAGATGATTGAACGGCTACGATGTCACCATGCCTAATTTTGATCCCAGGCGTGAAAAAGGAGGGAGCCATCAGCCATGGAGGTAGGCAACCGACCGGAGGCGGAGTTCCTATTAAAAACTTGGAGGGAAGAGATACCGGTTACTAGATGGAGATGTTCATAATTTCATATCATATGATATGGATCTCTGATCTCTGTCACTTGGGAAAAATATTAAATAAAAAAATGGAAAATCGAGTCTAGTTCGTCGAAGTAAAATACTATCGAGGTTTTACCATGACATCATTACATTTTACACTTTCAGAGGCAGAGAAAGCCTCAACGCAAATTTGACAATCAGAAATTACTCAATGCGCTGTTCTCGTCTCCACCTTCTCATCCCCTTAAAAAATTGGTCATGAAAAATTTCAGTTGACATTTTTCACCCAAGGAGAACCTTCGTTTGTTTCATCTCTCTCCCCTACCAACTCCTTCTCAGTTTGACTTTTCCCCCTATAACATGAAATTCAGATCTCTGCACCCAAAGACACGTTTAGGGTCGCCACCTTACGGGTTCTAATGGGGATATTTCTACTTTTGGCGCTGTTGGTGGGCTTTTTAAGTTACGGTGTTCTGGGTCTTGAAGCATCTCAGGAGGCGCCATGGAGGATCCACACCTTGTTTTCGGTCGAATGTCAGAACTACTTCGACTGGCAGACGGTGGGTCTCGTTCACAGCTTCAAGAAGGCCCGCCAACCCGGCCCCATAACGAGGCTCCTCAGTTGTACGGAGGAGGAGAAGAAGCGGTATAAAGGCATGGACCTTGCTCCTACTTTTGAGGTGCCTTCCATGAGCCGACACCCAAAAACTGGAGACTGGTATCTGATGAATTTCCTTTTCTCTATCTGGTTCTATTGCACTAGTGTTTAATTAGATTTGGTCTTTCAATTCGTTAGATTCATAATAATGGGTTTTGGTTGTTGGATTGGATCATCCACCTTGCTGTGCTTGTTGGGTTGCTTTCATTGCATGTCACCATTGTCATATTAACCTATTTTTATCACGAGGGGGATTGCATATTTAAGTTTGATTTGGTGGAGTGCATTGGCTTTTGTTTTTCCTGCCTGTTGATTCTTCCTTCATCCTTGGTTTATATATGGATGTTTTATCATTACTCTGTGCCGGACTAAATTAACTAAAAACAGAATTGCCAATTAAATAGCACTTGGATAACTACCTGCAAGGCTTGAAGGAATACATGGTAGTGCAGGTTGTCTGGCAGGAAGTAAACTGCCCATGAAAAACACACCTACTAAAGCTTGTGAAACTTATTTTGTCAAAGCTTTGTCCTCACATGGTGAAACATTAAGAGGGGAGATACCTCTTGCCAATTAACCACAACTATTCTCCACAAGAAAAAAAGTGCATATCATTACTTAAATTCCATAAAAATTTATCTTAATCAAAACAAGAAATCAACTTAGACCCCGTACCATCTTCAGCAAAGAAAATGAATTCCATGGCATCAGGTTCGTAACAATTGACAGTTGTCCTACACTTTTTCTTCACACTTTGGGCTAAGTTGCTGTTCTTCTGTTTCTTTTCCTTTTAGAGTTTATTTTCTTTCAGTTAATGTGTGCAAATGTTTTTTTCCTCTCTCTTCTTCCATGCTCATTTATATTTTTCACTTATAATGGGTTTGTGTTGGTCTGCATTGTTGCAATTCTCCTCTCATTGAGATTTACTTGGCGGAGTTCACTGACGTTGATGATAGTTTTGCTTGACTTTTTAATATCATCTTACAAATTAGGGTTATGCCTTTTTATTTTCTTTTCTTCTCTTTTACTTGCAATCTATGTATGCATTCATATGTTGAACAAGAGTCATTAACCATGATTCTTCTTGCTGCATTTCTTTTCAGTGGAGATCTCTCTTGTGCTTCTAGTTAATATTTTCCTTCAATAGAATTTATGCATTCATATATTGAACAAGAGTCATTAACCATGATTCTTCTTGCTGCATTTCTTTTCAGTGGAGATCTCTCTTGTGCTTCTAGTTAATATTTTCCTTCAATAGAATTTTAGACTAAATCTCTTTTTATTTCCAAAAAGAAGATGGAAAAACAAAAGTAGTTAATCCTTTTTCCTTTGGCAGGTATCCTGCAATCAACAAGCCAGCGGGAATTGTTCACTGGCTTAAACATAGTAAAGATGCACAGAATGTGGATTGGGTTGTAATTTTAGATGCAGATATGATCATCCGTGGCCCAATCATACCTTGGGAACTTGGTGCTGAGAAAGGAAAGCCTGTTGCTGCATATTATGGGTATTTAGGAATTCCTTTGTTCAAGTTATTAATGTTTTACAATTGACTATTCTTCTTTGAATAACTTTTTGGTTATCATTTGCAGCTGTAAGATAATAGGTTCAATCCTCATCTTCCAACCTAAAATATTCTTGGTTATCAGAATGGACTTATACCCTTTACATCTACATCTACAAGTTTCTCTTTTGACCTGGGTGACCAGCGTCCACATCTTGGAAACAGCCTCTCTATGTATATACAGGGGTAAGGCTGTGTACATCTGTCCCTCTCCAGACCCCACATTGGCAGGAGCCTCGTGCTCTGGGCTCCCTTTATTTTCTTGTGAAAGATAAAATCGTCTCTTTTCTGATAGCTGGTAGAAAGATGTTATGGTTATGGAACTCTGCTAAAAGTATATAGAACTACAACCGGGGGTAGACCCACCTGGAAGACTTACTGTCAACTTATTGTTTCCATCGTCTCATTACCAATTGAACTATTTCATGTAATAGCCTTGGAATGTGGTCATAGACCTACTTTTCCTATCTTTGTGAATCAAGTTTTGCCACAGAACCTCCTTTCTAGCAACTGTAGATGTATCTTGCTCTTAGTTTTTACTACACTTTCTTTTAAAGCCACTTGTAGAGTTTCAAATTGTCAATATATATTATTATTTCATAAAGAAATTGCTTAATTCAGGTATTTGGTTGGATGTGATAATATTCTTGCCCAATTGCACACAAAGCACCCAGAACTTTGTGACAAGGTTGGTGGGCTTCTGGCCATGCATATTGATGACCTTAGGGCCTTGGCACCTATGTGGCTCTCAAAGACAGAAGAAGTACGCGAGGACAGGGCCCATTGGGCAACCAACATAACTGGTGATATTTATGGCCAGGGGTGGATCAGTGAGATGTATGGCTACTCATTTGGTGCTGCAGAAGTGAGTGGATCTCATGTTCTTCCATTTGTAGAATTATGGTTTTGAAATACTAAGTAATTGTTTATATGCTTATTTTGCCTTTGGGATTGCTTTATCAGGTGGGACTTCAGCACAAAATTAATGACAACTTGATGATCTACCCAGGTTACATCCCAAGAGAGGGTGTTGAGCCTATTCTTATGCACTATGGCTTGCCATTTGAGGTTGGAAATTGGTCTTTCAGTAAATTAGACCACCATGAGAATGGCATTGTTTATGACTGTGGTCGGCTCTTCCCCGAGCCTCCTTATCCAAGAGAGGTGCGTGCAAGGAAAAAACACCATGAAGATTATAAATGCTCTAATTCAGAAATTATATCAGGAGTCCATTGTCCAAACTTTTGCATTGATCTATATCATAAAAATTAAAGGTAGTAAAATGGTAAAAGAGTGCATAATTTGACATTCTTCATATAGGTTCACATTTTCGCATTTTGACACCCAAACTCTCTGATTTCTTTTAGGCTATGTTTGTTTTGAAGGAAAAGGTAGGGAAGTCCATACAAGATTTGTAAAGGTTGCCCTACCTTTCCTTTCCTTTCCCTACTTTTTCCTTCAAACCAAACAAAGCCTTAGTGTATAGTCTGATTTCCTCATTCTAAATACAAAAAATCATGTGGCAATTTCATCAAATCGTCAAATCATCATCTTTATCATCTAAGCTTTGTCCCAACTATATGGGGTCAGCTACATGAATCCCTTTTCACCATTCCATTCTGTTCAGTACCATATCTATTGTCAAATTATGGCTGCTTAAATCATGTTTTACTACTTCAACCCATGTCCTTTTTGGTCTGTCCCTAGCTCTTCTAGCCCTTTCAACTTGTAATAGATCACTTCTTATGGGTGCTCTAAATGGTCTTCTCTGCATGTAACCAAACCATCTTAGTCTACTTTCTCTCATTTAATCCCCTGTTGGAGCCACTCCTAGGTCCCTTCAAATGGCTTAATTTATAATACTGTTCTTTCTAGTTTTTCCATTCATCCATCTCAACATTCCCATTTCTACCACTCTTTTTTTTTATATATATATAAAATGGCTTATCTCCACAAACAAAAATTACAATTTAGCCCAAAACAGTTGATTTCAACCCCTTGTTTAGCCAAGATAATAGTCATACTGTTAGCTGCCCTTTTGACCAGCCAAGATGTCTACCACTCATTTTTTGGACATTGCTGGCCAAGATGTCTACCACTCATATCAAGATGTCTACCACTGCTCAACATTCTGCTCTATACAACATTGCTGGCCAAACAACTGTTTTATAGAATTTTCCTTTCAACATTTTGTTCATCTTGCTCTAATTCTATGGGCAACATCCTCCTCAATCTTTCCCTTGTTATGAACTATTGAACCAAGGTGGTGGAAGAGGTCAAATTGAGTTTTCTTTCTTTTCCTCTTTGCAGGTGCTAGCATTGGAAGCTGATCCGAACAAAAGGCGAGGCCTATTTCTAAGCATAGAATGTATGAACACATTGAATGAGGGCCTTCTGTTACACCATGCATCAAGTGGGTGCCCTAAGACAAAGTGGTCAAAATATTTGAGCTTTCTGAAGAGCAAGACTTTTGCTGAACTAACAAAGCCCAAGTATTTAATTCATGACAGTACACAAAATGACAAAGCTGAAGCAGAACAGTATTCTAGTGAATCAGAAACTATGCATCCGAAAATCCATACCATTTTCTCCACTGAATGTTCCCCTTATTTTGACTGGCAGACTGTAGGGCTTGTCCATAGTTTCCATTTGAGTGGTCAGCCTGGAAATCTCACGCGACTTCTTAGCTGTACAGAGGAGGACTTGAAGCAATATAAAGGCCACGACTTGGCTCCTACACATTATGTTCCATCTATGAGCCGTCATCCATTAACAGGAGACTGGTAACCCAATTTTCCACGTTTTATTTGTTTTTTTTTTTTTTTATTTGTAAAACATTCATTGGAAACAGTTATAAATGAGCATCTCTTCCTACTTGCAATATGTTAAGAATCAGAAAGCATGTTTTATTATGTGGACCACTATTTGAATGAATGAGTGGGGATGCATGGAAGTCAACAGGCATTGGGTATGGTGGTTAAAAACAGGAAAGAAAAGTTGGAAATGGAAGTCTTTGACCTTCTCTACTGTTATCTTAATGGAATTCTTCTGGTGGTAGAAGAACTCCAAGTTCTCACTAATTGGCCATCTAAACTATTATTAAGAAATGCTGTGATTTTCATTGAACTTTTTTTTTTCTTAGGCTATGTTTGGTTTGATAGAAAACAAGAAAGAAACAAAAATTGAGGGTAAGTTCTTAAGTAATTTTGTGAAATTCCTTAAGAACTTTTGCTCAACTTTTTGCTTTTCTTTTATTTTCTATGAAACCAAACATAGCCTTAAATTGTGTTATCACCTAGTTTAAAGCAAATTACTGGCCCTCCCCAAACTCTAGATTTATGTTGTTGAATGCTCCTATTGCTCAATTATTTTTCTTTTTTCCTTTCTATTTTCTTTTTTGGAAACATCTCTGTATGTCGGACATCTAATTGGTATTTGAACCCTTTGTAATTTGTATATGCTAATGTGCATGGTAGCATTGGTATAACTCTAAATCTCTAATACATTGTCCCCAAATATACTGTTGCTAGAATTTTCAATTTCTTCTTGTTGAGGTTTTAGACAAATTGTGTAGTCTATAATGGTAGTTTTTGATTATTTATTGTTAAGATAGGAAGTGGGGACCACAACACTCTTGTTGGGTCTTTTTTGAGCAGTTATTATGGTTTGAAACAGCCACCTAGGGCATGGTTTGATAGGTTCAGAGGAGCACTTATCCGTTTTGGGTACACACAAACTCAATCCGACCATGCTCTCTTTGTAAAAAGGAGAGAGACACTCTTGTCAGTATTGATTGTATATGTAGATGATATAGTTACAGGAAATGATCTAAAGGAGATTGATGCACTCAAGAAGTCACTACAACAATAGTTTGAGATCAAGGATCTAGGTGAACTGAAATACTTTTTGGGGATTGAGGTTGCAAGGTCCAAGTATGGGATCTTCATCTCTCAGAGGAAGTATGTGTTGGATTTACTATAGGAGACTGGGAAGCTAGGAACTAAACCAATTGATACTCCTATTGATCCAAATCATAGAATTAATGCTTTGGATGGTGAGTTGGTTAAGGATGTAGGAAGATATCAGAGGATGGTAAACTGGCTACTATATTTATGTATGACATGTCTAGACATCTCCTATGCTATTAGTGTTGTAAGTTAGTATATGCATGCACCTCGGGTTCAGCACTGGGAAGCCATTGAGATGATACTTGCATACCTGAAGAAGCACCCTAGCAGAGGGATTATTTTCTCAGACCATGAAAATTTAAAGCTGAAGTCTATACAAATGCAGATTGGGCAGGTTGCTTAGATGACAAGAGATCTACATCAGGGGTATGCACCTTTGTGGGAGGAAACTTGGTCTCATTTAAGAGTAAAAAACAGTCAGTTGTGGCTAAATCAAGTGCAAAGGCTGAATATAGATCTATTGCTCATGGTGTTTCAGAACTACTTTGGGTGAGATCTCTACTGAGTGAGACTGGAATAAAAGCCGAGAAGCCCATGATGTTATATTGTGACAACCAAGCTGCAATCAATATTGCCCACAATCCAATTCAGTATGACAAGATTAAACACATTGAGGTTGTTAGGCACTTCATAAGAGAAAGGGTGACAATTGGAGAAGTCTACTTGCCTTATGTCTCCTCTGAACTACAATTGGTTGATGTTTTCACCAAAGGGGTTGCAAAGAACAAACTTGAATGCAATCTATGCAAGTTGGGAATGTGTTACATTTACTCCCAACTTGAGGGGGAGTGTTGAGGTTTTAGACAAATTGTGTAGTCTATAGTGGTAGTTTTTGATTATTTATTGTTTAGATAGAAAGTAGGGACCACAACACTCTTGTTGGGTCCTTTTTGAGCAGTTATTTTAATTGTTTTATGTTGTTTTATGTGTTAGTTGCCCTATAAGGGCATATTGGTCTTTGTACTCTTTATTATTTTAGACTATAAATAATAGTGTAGAGGGTGACCAGCATTATTGCTCTCTTTTCTCTCTCAAATCTCTTCTCTTCCTTTTCTCATTTCTTCTCTTCTTCTTCAAGAAATATTCTTTTCTTTTACAGATCTTTATTTCAGCACCTTTCTACTCTTCTTTTACCATCAGATGTTGTCAGAGCCTATCCATGTGTCCCACCTACCCAGTAGTGCTCTAAAGTTGTAAATGATCACTCAATGGTAATAACAGATGAGGGTTTGATTAGTGTAATGGTAAAATCTTGGGCTAACCCGGATACAAGAGTTTGGTCCCTAACCCCGGTTGGCTCATTCATTTGTGCTTCTTTCTTTAAAGCCCTTTGCTCCAATCCCTCCTCTCAAGTCTTCCCCGTTAAAGAGGTATGGTCAAGACCAATTCCCCCCAAAATAGCATTGTTCTGTTGGGAAGCCTATTATGGTAAGATCAATACTGCGGGAAACTTGCAAAAGAAGAAACCTTTTATGTGTTTGTCCCCTAATTGGCGCTCTTTGTGTAAAGTGAAGGGTGAGAACTGTAACCATTTGCTGATATCATGCTCCTTTGCTACCAATATTTGGAACTTGGTTGTTTCATTATTTGGGTGCAGGTGGAATTTGCTCTCTGAAACAAAGTTGCTGTTCACTCCTGCTGCTTTTGGGAGATTGACAAAAAAGAGGGAAGCTAATGTGGAAATGTATCAGAGCTGCTACGTTGTGGACTGTATGGGAGGAGAGAAATGCTAGAATATTTCAAGAACATGAAAGAAGTCTT